CAAGTTTGGTATGGGATTGGAAGACACAAGATAATTAGAAGGGGAATCTGTAGGAGAAGAAAAAGGAGACATGATTAGGAGGCAAGAGGATTGAAGACTAAATTGTAGAGAAAGAGATGAACCAAGAATTTCAGTTTGGTGCCTAGATAAGGCTCTAATACCATGTGGTAGAATAAAATTCTCATCACACTATAATGTAGGGTTACAAAGTATATATATGTATATACATCATGTATAATGACCTAGATGCCCTTAAGTATAAATTCATAAGAAATTTATACAATATCACCTAGTACTCCATGCTAAATGCAAAAGATTAGTGACATAGAGTAACCAACACTTAGTATGCAACAAGATAAAAATAATAGCACAAAAGGAAAGGAATTCACCAAATACTCCACCTCCAAATGCAAAAGTAAAAGGTAAGTATATCCACATGCAAGTAAATGGATATATAAACATGATACATGATGAATAAGCATTTGTAAGAATGATGCATTAATATATGACAAGATATGATGTAGGAGCATGCAAAAAAGGCATGATGCATGGCATAATGCAGCAACATAAGTAGGCAAGGGCAAAAAGGCAAAAGCACCCAACAAAGAATCAAGTAGCAAGCAAAACTCAACAATCAAAATAATTTAGTAGTTGAAAAATCCTTAAAGTATCAATTTGACCCTTATAAATCTGAAATATGGATAGCCAAAAGATTCTAAATTCAATTCTCAATAAATTACCAAACTATTGATGACCACTTAAAATGAATAAAAATTATAAATTTTCATCTAAAATTATTTTATTGAAACAAATCACCATTCAAAAACTTTGTAAACGCATTTTACCACCTAAAATTTTTGAGTTAGAAAATAGACTCCCAATTGAAGGTGCTAATCTTTCCATATAATGACAAACTGCCCTCATGGTACTTTCGTGCAAACAACCCAAACATTAAAAAGAATTAAAAAGAATTAAAAAGAGAAAAAGGCACTGACAACAATTTCAAACAGTTAAAAACACTAAATTTTTAACAACAAAAAAAAGCCTTCATTTAAGCAGGTTAAAATATATGTTTAATTTCTTATTTTAGTAAATTTAAATATTTTAACTTTTTATTGTATATTACAAAATTTTTAATCCTTGAATTTAGGAGTTTGAAGATTTTAATCTCTAAATTAATGAAATTCGTTAATTCTCTATTAAAATGAAAATAACATATTTACAATATTAGTTCTTAAAAATTAAAAATATAATAATTTAGTTTTGAAAGTTTAAATTAAAAAAT